CTATCTCAAGGTTGTTACTAGGATGATTTGAGATGAGACATAGAATGTTTAGCCCAGTTTGAAGTCCCTGCCCCAACTCTTTTTTTTTTTTTTTTTTGGTTTTTCGAGACAGGGTTTCTCTGTGGCTTTGGAGGCTGCCCCAGAACTAGCTCTTGTAGATCAGGCTGTCTTGAACTCACAGAGATCCTCTGCCTCTGCCTCTGCCTCCTGAGTGCTGGGATTAAAGGCGTGCGCCACTCTGCCCCAACTCTTCATTGAAAAGTTTCTACACCCTGATAAGCCTCTCTGCTGATGCAGCAATCCAGATCAGACCAAATCAAACTGAATTAGAAAAAGCCCATGTTTAATGGATACAACACTCCCGGGTGGCCTTCCAGCCCCTCAGAGAGAAGAAGGGAAAAGGAAGCCGGATAAACCACAAGTCTGGTTTGGGGGGGGCAGTTTAAATACCCTGTGGGAGTGGTCTTGAGCATCTCTGGGGGAGGGGTCATCATTTGGAGGGTTTTATGATATGCAGCAGTGTTTGGAGGGAGATGGGGGAGGGAGGCTTGGGTGGAACTTCCACCATAACATCCTAGACTCTTTGGGTATATAGATGCCAGGGGCTGGGGCAAAGCTTTTACCATAACATCCATGGCCATAGAGCTCTGCTGCATCACCTCCTGACCTTCTGTCTCCCCAGACAGCACCTAAGAAAACCTCATTTGGTTCGCTGAAGGATGAAGACCGGATCTTCACCAACCTGTATGGCCGCCATGACTGGAGGTGAGACAGGGCCCTTAGCCTGCTGGGGCCCTTAGCAGAGCCTCTCCTTCACATCCTTTCCTACTCTGTCCAGGCTGAAAGGTGCCCAGAGTCGGGGTGACTGGTACAAGACAAAGGAGATACTGCTGAAAGGGCCTGACTGGATCTTGGGTGAGATCAAGGCATCTGGTTTACGGGGCCGTGGTGGTGCTGGCTTCCCCACTGGCCTCAAATGGAGCTTCATGAATAAACCCTCAGATGGCAGGTTTGTGGGGAGTACCTTGTGATGTGGTTTAGGACAGATTAGGGGCTGCTGAATCACTGGGCTTTGGGACTGATTCTGGGAGACTTAGCAGACTGTAAGGGGATAGACAGAATTTAAGAGGTATCTCTGGGTTTCCTCAGCAGAGACGCAAGAGATTACAATCCAAGATTTTGACACAGGCAGGCCTTATTCAAATCCCAATTTTGCCTTTTAGTAATTGTCAAGCTTTGGGAAATCTGGCCTTTTTGAATCTGAAGTTTCTTTTTCATGCCTGAGTATGATATGCAGGAATTAAAAAGATAGCGTTGGTTTAGCTTTTGACCTGCAATTGACACCTAGAATGCAAGTTATAAAAGTTAGCCCCTGAACTGGCATAATGGCTCAGCAGGTAAGGGAGCCTGCCTCCAAGGCTGGTGACCTGAGGTCATCTCCAGGACCACTGGAAGAAAGAGAGCCTCCTTCTAAATGTTACTCCCTGAGCTTCCTTCACATGTGTTACAACACACGCTACCTCCACCAGTAAATGTATGTAATGAACAAAATAAATTTTCTAAGACGGGGTTCTCTGTATAACCCTGGCTTTCCTGTAGACCAGACTGGCCTTAGACTCAAGAGTACTGGGATTAAAGGTGTGGACCACCACGCCAGGCCTAGCCCTTTTTTTTTTTTTTTTTTTTTAAGTCAGCCACTTACCTCCTGTTGGCCTCAGGGCCTTGCTGGAGGTTGAAGAATCGTTATGACCAAGAGCTGACTCAAGGGAAAGCACAGGGAGAGATGTTGGGACTAAGGAGAACAAAGGCTTTTCTTGTGGACATAGATGGCCAAAGATGGACTGGGCTTCGAGTACTCTGTCACTGGTGGTAAGGCAAAGAGAGCCTCAGGTAGGGCAGAGAGGGTCAGCTTTTTTGAGACTTCTCTGGGTACAAAAGGAATGGAATTTGGTTGAGAGTTGGGTCTTGGTGGGTCTGTAGCCTGACTGATGTTCAGGACCCCACAGGCCCAAGTATCTGGTGGTGAATGCTGACGAGGGGGAGCCAGGAACTTGTAAGGACCGAGAGATCATGCGCCATGACCCTCATAAGCTGGTGGAGGGCTGCCTGGTAGGAGGCCGGGCCATGGGTGCCCGGGCTGCCTACATCTACATCCGAGGAGAATTCTACAATGAGGCCTCCAATCTGCAGGTGAGCACATGAGTGTTAGCCAACTGTGCATGCACTCCTCACACACTCCCTTTCCTGGCACAACCATTCTTAAATGGTAGCACCAGTTTCTGGTCCAGCAGGGGGCGGGGGATCCATTTCTGAGTCCATCAACAGCAGGACCTGGCTCCAGAGTTCTTCCTTTGTGCTCCAGAGGTCAATTTAGGAAGTCTTCAAGGGTCCCATGGCTCCTGGGTTGGAGGCTGACTCTTGGGGTGTGGTGAGGCTTGGGAACTCTTCACCTTGTTTCACAGGTAGCTATCCGAGAGGCCTATGAAGCAGGTCTGATTGGCAAGAATGCCTGTGGCTCTGACTATGATTTTGACGTGTTTGTGGTGCGCGGGGCTGGGGCCTACATCTGTGGAGAGGAGACAGCACTCATTGAGTCCATTGAGGGCAAGCAGGGAAAGCCACGCCTGAAGCCACCCTTTCCAGCAGATGTGGGTAAGACCCTGTGGGACCCTGATCTGACTGGGTGCCCTCTGGGTGCTTCTTAGAATATTTCTCTATGCCCTTTGGAGGGGAGGACAGATTGATAGGGGAAGGTGTTATTAACAGACTCCACCACTGCCACCATCAGTGCCCACCATGTCCCCTCCTGGCAGTGAACTTTCTTTCACAGTATCTGTTTAGGAACTAGGAGTGTGATGGTGAACAGGAGATGAGCTTCTCTGGAGTCTGGGGTGCAGTGTGGGACAAGAGTAAAGAGACAAGAATAGGAACTGCCACAGGGCCAGGACAGGAAACATCCCACTGCAAAAAACATGTTTTCAGCCAGGCAGTGGTGGCACGCGCCTTTAACTCACCACTTGGGAGGCAGAGGCAGGTGGATCTCTGTGAGTTCAAGGCCAGCCTGGTCTACAGAGCAAATTCCAGGACAGCCAGGGCTACACAGAGAAACCATGTCTTGAAAAAAACAAAAACCAAACCATGTTCCCTTTCCCGGGAAGCCACCAGTCACCAGTATCTTTTCATTTCCTTGAAGGAGTGTTTGGATGCCCCACAACTGTGGCCAATGTGGAGACAGTGGCTGTGTCTCCCACCATCTGCCGTCGTGGTGGCTCCTGGTTTGCTGGCTTTGGCCGAGAACGAAACTCAGGTACCAAACTGTTCAACATCTCTGGCCATGTCAACAACCCCTGCACTGTGGAGGAGGAGATGTCTGTGCCACTGAAGGAGCTAATTGAGAAGCATGCTGGTAAGCTCAGGGCCAGCCAGGAGGAGCAGGGTGCTGAGAGAGGACACAGTGGGAAACCTCAGGAGCTAGACTAGGTTCAGGGCCTGACATTGGTCCTGCCTTAAGCCTAGGCAGGTGTGCTGGATTTAGCCCTAATTCTTTTGGGAATTGTTACAGGTGGTGTCATAGGTGGCTGGGACAACCTCCTTGCTGTGATTCCTGGTGGCTCATCCACTCCGCTGATCCCTAGGTCTGTGTGTGAGACAGTGTTGATGGACTTTGATGCACTGGTGCAGGCCCAGACAGGCCTGGGCACAGCTGCGGTGATTGTCATGGATTGCTCGGTAATAGTTTATGCCCCACAGTCCTCCTGCCAGCCTTGATGTTACTCCCTCCCCTCCCAATTCTTAGAGCCTGAGATCCCAGTATAGTGGGAAAGTCTGGGCCAGAACACTGCAACCCAGTTCAGGGGTGTTGTGGAAGGCTAAGGTGTCTGTGCATTGTTCCTTGTCTCCTAGACAGACATTGTGAAAGCCATCGCTCGTCTCATTGAGTTCTATAAGCATGAGAGCTGTGGCCAGTGTACCCCATGCCGTGAGGGTGAGCTTCCTGGAAAGGCTGGGATTTGGTTGCTGGGCTGTTCTTAACCTTCCCCTGTGAGGCCTGTACCCCTTCAGTGTTGTCCCCCTCCCTAATGGGAGAGCCTCAGGCCCTTCTTGCTGCTGTGCTGCAGGCGTCGACTGGATGAACAAAGTGATGGCCCGCTTTGTGAAGGGGGATGCCCGGCCAGCTGAGATCGACTCCCTCTGGGAGATCAGCAAGCAGATAGAGGGCCACACCATTTGTGCTCTGGGTGATGGGGCAGCCTGGCCAGTACAGGTACACACTGCCCTGATGCATGACACTAAGGTGGGTGGTATTAAGAGCCCAGAGCTCTGGGAATTTGGAACTCTGGTTCATACAGTGCCTCACTCTCCTTCCCAGGGTCTGATCCGACACTTCCGGCCAGTGCTTGAGGAGCGAATGCAACAGTTCGCAGAGCAGCACCAGGCCCAGCATTCAGGCTTCTGAGCCTGTACCTTGGCCTGATAATTTTACATCCTTTTGGGAAGCTGGACAATAAACAAGTGCTACCCACTCTCCAATCACAGCTTGTCTGTGACTTTGCTTTTCACTAGGCAAGAGAAGCAGGATGGGGCAAGGAGGTGAAGGCTGGACCTGGCCTACTTTTCTTTTTGTGAAACTAGGGGATCCATCCCCGGACTTTGGGCATGCTGGGTAAGCATGCTGCCACTGAGCCATCTCCCCAGTCATGAACCTGGCCCAGTACAGCCTCTAAGGCAGTGGTTCTTAGCCTTGTGGGTCATGGCCCTTTGGGGGAGGTCACATATTACAATTCATAACAGTAGCAAAATTAGTTACGAAGAGGCAACAAAGTAATTTTATGGTTGGGGGTCAACAGAACATAAGGAACTGTATCAAAGGGTTATACCATTAGGAAGGTTGAGAACCACTGCTCTAAGGGGTTGAAGACAGGAGAATATGGGCCTCCTGGGCCCTGTGAGGTGAGGGCAGAGAAGAGGCAGACGTTCCTAGAGAAAAGACAGGCTCCTGCTGGCAGAAGCAGGTGTTTATTTTGCATTGTGCTTGGGGGTGGGGTGACTGAAAGGATACAGGAATGGGCACAGCAGGTTGGGCCAACCTACAGCTCTTTCCAGCTGCAGCAGACATCTTGGCCCCTTAATAGGCTGCAAGCAGGGCCCTGTGCTGGCTAGTTGTCAAGTTGGGGGGGCACACTGTCCAGCAGGTGCCACAGTTCAAGCCGGCGGTCACTGCGGCTCAGACACTCACGCCAGTGGTGTAAGCGGTCCCCACTGGCTCTGCTACTCAGCTGTACCCCACCTGCAGAGGAATGGGTCAGTAGTCAGCAGAGGCTCGTGAGGCTCCTCTCAGCACCCTGAGTTACTGCTTACCAATGAAATCATCAGCTGTGCCCAGGTCATAGTCCCACACAGACACCAGCAGTGCTTTCTGGGCCAACTCCTCCCGATGACCTGCATAAAAGAATTCCTGTAGGGAAGGGACAGGAAGGAGGTGAGTTCCTTGTGGTTTTAGAAACAGGCTCAGACAGGGCCTGGTTTGCTAAATCGAGACCACACTTGATCGGGTTCTCCTGCAATGACCCACCTCATTGAACTCAGGGTTCAGGGTCTTTCTCCGAACACTGGTCTTATATTTGGATTTCTTTCCAGAACTTGGATGCAGGGAACTGGAGGGAGAGGTGGGCTCGTTAGGTGTGGCCCTGCAGAGCCAAGGGTTCTCTCCCTCACCCTTCATGCCCACCTGTCTGTTTCTTTTTTTCTTTCTTTCTTTTTTTTTTTTTGTTTTTGTTTTTGTTTTTCCAGACAGGATTTCTCTGTGTAGCTCTGGAGACCAGGCTAGCTTCGAACTCACAGAGATCTGCCTGCCTGTGCCTCCCGAGTGCTGGGATTAAAGGTGTGCGCCACCATTGCCGGGCTCCCACCTGTCTGTTTCTACTCACAGGCGGACAAAGGGGTCGGAGTAGCCATTGGCATCCATGGGGGCCAGGTGGGCACAGCGCAGCACTCCTACCAGCAGGCCACCACGCTGGGAGCTGTAGCACAGGGACAGTAGGATGCGCCCACGTTCCTCCCCATACACCTCTACCTCCATCTCCTCCTGCAGATGGAAGCTACAGTCAGATCCTGTCCAGTCTAAAGCACCCCCCCACACACAGGGGCCGGTCCCCAATGTGAGGGCACAGATGGCGGTAGAGAAACCAGGCTGTCAAGTTTATTTCCCTAAACAGCCATTTTTTCAGTACCCAGTGAAAAGATCTTGTAGTGGCACTCAAATCTGTACCCTCCAAAGCCCCAGAAAGGGAAGGGCTTGCTGCTCACATCTCTCAGGACAAGTAAGAGAACTGATGATTGTCACAGTCATGTCAGGGGCTTTCTAAGTGGCTTGTTCCCATGTAATGGAAATAGCTCTGGGAAGCTGTCATCAGGGAGGGGCAGGTCTCTTACCTCTTAAGCACACTTCCACAACTACTACCTGGTAGACCATGTTATGAATGTCCTTTGTCACATTCTTTAGACACTGGAACCCCCAGGGGTGATGGACTGGGAAAGCATGCCTTCTTTCCCTCCTCTGGGGTAGAACTGACAGCAGAGATCCGAACTAACTTTCTTTTTCTGTCTTTTTTGTTTGTTTTTGTTTTTTTGAGACAGGGTTTCTCTGTATTGCTTTGGAGCCTGTCCTGGAACTAGCTCTTGTAGACCAGGCTAGTCTAGAACTCACAGAGGTCTGCCTGCCTCTGCCTCCCGAATGCTGGGATAAATGCCGTGGGCCACCAATGCCCGGCTGATCCAAACTTTCTTATCATTGGTAGTGCTCAGTAATGCAGGAGTGCTCTGCACAGCCTCTGTGTGCCAGGGCACAGATGCACACAGGCTCTGGGATTGGCAGTAACTGTTTCCGTGTTTTTAGTGATGTCCCCTGTGGGACTCAAAGGCTTGGGCTTAGCTAATAGGCCACTGCAGAAACTTGGGCCTCCACTAGGGGGCAGGGCACCTATTCTGTGTTGACAGGAGCAGGTGGATGGCCTGTCTTCAGCCTTGTAGATGCCCTTCCTGCTGGGCTGTGGGCTTCTGGGTAAGGATCTCAGGGTGGGGTTGAGTAAGCACTGGTGACCTTCACTGTCTCCTGGCAGGCACACCCAGAGGTATCCCCAGTGCTGACACCAGTGGCAGACAAACGACTTGGGAGCTTATTCTTTCTTCTACTGTGCCCAGTCCTCCCACCTCTGGCCACCTCAGGCTCTGCTTCTGGATTGCTGGGTCTCTGCCTACCTATCCTCTGGGAACTCTGCAGGTCCTTCCTAGGGTTCCTCATCTTCTAGGCTACCCTAGAAGAAAGTCACCATCACCCTGTTCAGTCAGTTCTTGAGAGCTCATAGAATATATAAGAGCAATGGACTCAAATTCCTCCAAGCCTTTAAGGGCTGGGATCCCTGTCCAGCTCACACCTGATCCCAGCCTGGGCCATCTAGGTCTGTCTGTCTCCATATCTGCTCAGTCAAGTTTTCCTACCTACCTCCTCATACAGAGACATGCCACGGGCTGTGTCCAGACTCTTGGGCCTCTTGGTCTGAAAAAGCAGAGCACTTAGTCACTTCTGTAGATATTGTCCAGGTGCCTAACCCCATTCTCATTACATGGATTCTGGCCTTGTGAACCAACCTGAGTCTCAGCCCCACTCACCAGTCTCCGCTTCTCCAGGCAGATGTCAAAGCTCCTGGCTCGGTTTGGCACCAGCTTCCTCAGGGGCACTCGTAGCTCCCCTAAGGGGGTTGCTCGACGCCGAAGCCGTGAGTCTTCATACACACATAACCTGGTGGCCACCCAGGTCACTCCTGGTCATACAAGTCCCAACCCCTGCCTCCCTACTAGTGGCCTCATCTGGGTCCTCACCTCAGGGTCTTCCGTCCAGCATCCTGACAAGTAAAGCCATGATAGGTGAGCGTCTCCTCCCAGACAGGTCCCCTTGTGCCTCGAACAGTGCGTGTCCGAAGTTGGCTGGCCTGGGGCCAGGCAGGCAGGTCAGGTCAGGCACTCTCCTGGCCTCCTGCCCTAATTCTAGCAACTGTTCTTGAGGTAGGGGTGAAGTAGGATCCTTGGGTACCTATCCTGGCCCTGCCATCTAAGGGGACTAGATCTTACTCTCACCTTGCTGGCCCCTGGCAGCAAGTTGGCTTTGACATAGGTGTCCACAGAGCCTGAGGCTGGTGGCTTGAGACCCTGGAACAGAAAGTGGATGTAGAGAGGCCTGTGGCTTGTCCCATCCCAGGAACTCTGCCCCCATCCTCACCTTTGCACGGTGGGCTGTGCAGTGTAGGGCGCTGTTGTCCGCATCAAAGAGAAGCGTGAACTCCAGAGTGCCCAGGGCAGCTAGGGTGGCAGGTGGAGGACACGGTCACCCCACTCTGGCACCCATCTGTCCACATGGCACAGTGCCACTTGCCTGGCCTCTGCCATGGGTACTAGAGACACCCCCGACTTAGTCCTAGGGAGCATCCCCTCATTGTTTCCCCTACTCACTGCTGTCATCCGAGTCTCCTTCTGGCTCTGAGTTGGGCTGCAGCTGGGGTGCAGAGTGGATGGCCGGGGCCAGCATAGCCTGAGGGTCTGGTGCATGCAGCACTGGCTCCAGAAAGGGGTAGAAGTGTGGAAAGTAGCCAGAAATGAGGCGGATGGGCTGTATGGGACCGGGGCTCACGTCGATGGCCATGTGTTCCTGCATGCTCACCCGCTGCCGCCCACCGGCTGGCCCTGCGCATGCCATGGTGGCTCAGACATAGAGACTCAGAGAAACTCCCACCTACTGGAGACACTGGGCACACACCTAGCCACCAAGATGGAATAAAGAGTCATCACCAAGGCTGCCCTAGGACAGACCAAAGTGTCCTAAGACTAAAGGGGCAGTGTTAGAAGCTGTCCCTGGAGGGTCAAGGCTAGAGTCAGCCCTCTGGGGTCCTTACCTCTGACAGCTGTGTCACATCGCCTTGCTGCTGCTGGCTCTGGATGTATGCTTATGGTAACAGAAGCTGAGACTGAAGTGACCCATCTGAGCAAGTGTGTGACTGAGCAGGGGAGGGGATCAGGAGCCCACACCGCCCAAGGGCCCTTCCCTAGCACTGGGGGCCCAGCCTTGTCTCCTGCCTCTGCTCCTCCATTCACACTCTGTCGAACAGAGCTATTTTTACCACTATCATGTGGTCCTGCTGCTGGGTAAGGAGGCTGCAGGGCCAGAGGTGTGTTGGGGGTAGGCAAGAGAGGAAATAGGTGAGAAGGGCAGGAGCATGGGGGGATGAAGGGAGGTGAGGAGAGGGGACTGTGGAGGTGTGCAGGGATGGGAAGGCTTCTGTGAGAGAAGCAGGCACAACAACTGGGAAGGCCCTGCATTCTAGTTTCCTTGAGGACACTGCTGGCAATCACACCACACACTGGCCCCCGGCCCCCGGATGGAAATACAATCAAAGAAGTAATGTCCCTTTGTCTCCAAGTCTGTCCCCCTTGACTTTATGGTGGCCCTCTGTGTGGTGGAACTGGCCTATCACTCCATCTCCATATGGTTCTTCCCTTCCTCCTCCCAGGCAGGACCTTCTAGCTAGACTGACCTTTGCCCTGGCCATTGGTCACCTTCTTTGAGGTGTTCCTGACTTCCTGGCAGGGGATCTCACTAACAGTAGCTTCCCTGCATCCCTTCCACTTCTGCTACCCAACAGCTTATTGGTTTCTGAGACAATGTTTCAATATGTAACACAAGTACAGGGGAGCTTGAATTCTCCATCCTCCTGTCTCTGCCTCCAGTGGGCAGGCATTACAGGGGTATGCCACAAACAGCTTATTGGTTTCTGAGACAATGTTTCAATATGTAACACAAGTACAAGGGAGCTTGAATTCTCCATCCTCCTGACTCTGCCTCCAGTGGGCAGGCATTACTTTTCTCTTTTCACCTTTTAAACATTTATTTCGGGTATGAATATACACATATGCAAGCATGCATGTAGTAGGCAGAGGGGTCCCAAAGGTGAAACACTGATTGCCAGGATTTGCAGCCCGTGCCTTTACCTACCCATCTATCTCACCAGCCCCTATCTTGGTTTTTTTTTTTTTTTTTTTTAGATTTTATTTATTTATTTTGTATACATCATTCTGCTTCCATGTGTATCTGCACATCAGAAGAGGGCACCAGATCTCATTACAGATGGTTGTGAGCCACCATGTGGTTGCTGGGAATTGAACTCAGGACCTCTGGAAGAGCAGTCAGTGCTCTTAACCTCTGAGCCATCTCGCCAGCCCCCTATCTTGGTTCTTTTGAAACTGTTTTTCATTGGCTTGGGTCTCGCCAAGTAGCTTCTCCTGGCTGGCCAGCAGATCCAAGAGACCCACCTGTCTTTGCTGGAATTACAAGGGTGTGCCACCATCCCTGTTTTTTCATGTTCCACACAGAAGATGCCAAGGTAGAGTTGTCAAAGACTCTTTTAATTAGCTCTGGAGTAGCCTGCTCAGATGAAGGCAGAGGCACTTAAAGGCCAAGCCTCAACTCCTAGGCACCTCTTGAATAGCTAGGTAGGGCTGATAAATGCCAGGGGCCAGCAACTTCAGGGTGAATTCAGTGATGACAGCTGTGAGGCCCCAGACACGGTGTGGTCCACGCAAGAAGACAGGCATTGTGTAGCGGAAGTGGCCACCCTGGCAGAAGTTGGTATACCCTTGGTTCTGTGTCTGCAGCAGGTGGGCCAGAGACAGTTCAAATACCTCATCCACCTGTGGACAAGAGACAGAGAGGGTGGACAGAGGACTGCCTCTGAATCCCCTGGTAGGACACCCCAGCAACCCAGTATCCCTCATTCACCTCCTCGGGGTTGGGCCTGAGGCTCTGCAGATCCAGTGGGCCCACGTTGGCAAGCACAGGGACTATGGTTGCCTTTCCCTGGGGTAGGTGGAGGGTGAGCAGTCAAGAGAAGCAAACCTGAAAGGCAGACCCTGCTCTGCCATCCAGAGGCCTTGGGTAGTCATGGCCAAGCGCCCTCTAGTCTTTTTCCCTGGCTTCTTGCCATGTTGCCTGATCACAGGTTTGAAGGGTTTAGAACCTCTTTCCCTTACCTATAGTACCCTAAAATCTCCCATTTGTCATTCAAGCCCAGATCAATGCAGCCTACCCTGCAAGCTTTCCTAGACCCTGAGCAGGGCTGGCTCACCCCTTCGCTTAGGGTACAGAGTGTGACAGGATAAGGATGGCTCACCCGGTCATACACAGGCTGCAGGGCACCCCACACATGCTCCTTGGGCACCTCTAGGCCCAGCTCCTCTTGAGTCTCCCGAAGGGCCGTATGTATTACATCTTGGTCTTCGGGATCACACTTACCACCTGGGAAACTGAATGGGCAAAGGGAGTATTGGGACCACAGGCCCTCAGGAGGCAGTTTACCTCCCCGTATCATTAAAGTAAGGGGAGACAGGCACTGGAGACGAAGGTTAGGGCATGAGGTTCGGCATCAGGGTAAGACTATCCTGCTACTCAGACACCCCAAGTCTGTCTATAGTGTCCCAGTGGTACAGGTAATGACCCTGGGGTGTCCACAATTTCTTTGGCTTTGCCAAAGAAGGGGAGCCCTGGACGGCCTCTCTCCAGTCTCCGGTAAGGAGCAGAGTCCAGTTTTCGAAGGGGAAAATTCAGCCGGGTGTGCGGGGTGTAGGTGGTGCGCCGGCGCGGCCAGCGTACCTGACTTCCCCCCGGTGCTTCCCGACCAGGCGGCTGGAGCGCAGCGTGTAGAGCAGCGCCGGGACACCACGCACCAGGC